ACCCCTCAGATTCTACTACCATCTTCATCCTACGTGGGAGACAATCCACAAGTTTAGTTTTTACTGTGAGTGACTTCCTCCAAGGCTTTTTGGATTAGATGCCAGAGCGCATCGGAGTTGTTAGGTCTCGTATCTGGCCAGTTTTCGGTAATGCTGCGTTTTGTCTCTGCCCAAACATATTCAATAGGGTTCAGGTCTGGTGGCCTGAATTCCGCAAACCACGATTGAACTGTAGCCGACTTATGAATAGGAGACGGGTCCTGTTGGAATTTAATTATACCCTCAGGATACAATTGTCTTACTGATGGGATCATGATATGATGAACTTTTCTCAGTATGTGGATATCTCTCAGTGGGCGGCATTTAAGAGACCTTCGATCTTGTAGATCAGTGCAATCCCACGAGATGACGTCCAGCTCTAAACTCACTGAGAAACGACCTGACCTGTGTTGCTTTACGTACCGGGAATCATAGCGGCTTCCTTGATGTTTGAAAACGCGAGCAGATTCATGATTTCCGGAGGAGAATAGTCTCTCATCAGAGAAAATGACATCAGCCCAATCTCGATGTAAATTTTCCCCTGCAAATGCCAACCGATATCGCTGGTGTTCTGCAAGTTTCGATTTTCGTGTTGCCTTTCTGGATCGCAGGCCACCCTCCGAAAGTCTGTTGCATATAGTACTGGAACTTTCAGGAAATCTGGTGGTTCTTTGCATTAGTGAAGAAGTTTGAAAAGGGTTTTCCATCACTGCTTGTATCAAAACTTCATCTTGGGTAGCATCTGAAATACGCCAAAGCCCCATACCTAATTTCCTCCAGCATTCCCCAGTCTTTGGCCTTTTTAGCTAGTACTGCGCGGTTCTTGCCCCAACGCCATACCGACTCGTCCCGTCTGAAACAGAGATTCAATTAATGGAATCACACGCCCTCGTGTGGCTTGGCTTAGGGCGAATAATGAATACGGAGTGGTTCAATTTCCTTAGCTGCGATGTTTATTTTCTTACCAAGTAGCAAGTCTGCAGAGCTCCATATCTCCTTTTGACCTGGAGTCGAAAACACGGAAGTACTTGCATGCGAAGAACAGATGCAAGTCGCGTAAGTACTGTGAGGCTTACGATTGAAAATCGATTATCTCTCTCAACAAAAGAAGTGAGTTTATTCCACTATTATGAACTAGAATATTGTAGCTAGCAGAAATAAATCACTAATATTCCTAATTGCCAATACGATGTTTAACTTGAAGCAGTCAAATTTTGCGTTAATTTTTGGTAGAAATGATTTTTGAAGTGAAAAAATTCGCTATTTACTGCCATTATTTTTATTTACAATCTGTGTTATATTTGTTGTGTATAGTAAACATGTAATACACACAATGGATTTCTACATACATCTGAAATAGTTTGATGTTTGTATGATATTGTAATTAACTCCAATAACACAATCAAAGTTTAAGAACATTTTTGCCTTCAAAATTAGTTTTCAACAAATTATTTTTTTTAAATTTATTTCATTTCATTTTACTTTACAGCTAGGAAATCTCAATACCCATGTACCTGAGGCCTCCTGCCTGGCATCGCATCAAGGCATCGCAGAAATATTCATCCGAGCCAATGAACCACATTCATCATTGGAACCACCATATTTACTGCATTGTAGGATTTGCAAATTCAATGCCGTGTCACATTAAGAATTGTAATTGCAGAACATCAACAGTTTCATCATCTTAATTCATATTATATATCAATGGCATACGGGAATCTATGCTCGCAATTACTATTTTATTTATTTCTATATAGTAGTATAGTCGAAATACAAGTCATATCAAATGGCAAACAGATGTCAAAACGGGATTTAATGAATTACAGATACAAAAAGTCGATATTTCTTGTCGATATGGGCTACCTCTAGAATTTTGTGATATTGTTGAACTCTCCGAACTTTTACGAGTGCAATTTCATTGTCATTTTTTGTGTTATACGGCATAAAAAGAGGTTTGTTCGGGTAAAAGTGAACATAATAACGCAATATTTTTAAATTAGTTCTATTCACGATAAGATCGCTTTTTTTGTTTTCAATAACGTATAAACTTCCTAAGCATTTTTTTTTACGAATTGATTGTTCGCATTCTTTATTCCGGACCGCGAATTTTACCTAAATTATGTATAACATTGACGGAACAAATGTAGAATTTTTTAATTTACTGGATTTTTTATAATGTAGAATGGATAAACAATATCTGCACAGACTAGGAAATGAAGCCGCTTTTCCCCACGTTCTGGAACAACGCTTTGACACTGAGCAATAACACTACTGTTATAACAACACATTTTATGTTTACAAAACTTGAAAGCAACATTACGTTTACAAAAATTAAGGTCAGTTTAGTTTCACGGACAGGAACCACGAAAGTCTTTTTCTTCTGTACTACTACTATTAAGCTCTCAATAGACGTTAAAGTATTTTATACCTCTCAAATAAAAAAAAAACTTCATTGTTCGATCCAGAGAACGTAGTTTGGAAAATAAACGGTAGATAGTGCTATCGGCAAGCGGGGATCTCCATCGCTACGAGTATTAACCTCTCGGGCCAAGGTAATTTCGACGCGAGACTTAATGTGTCCACGAGTGTACATGTGTTATCATAGTAGCAAATAATGCTGAATTCTTGGTGTTTCAGGTTTATGAAATTCATGTAACGTTTCCTCAAGTAGCTGAGGACCTAAAGAAGTTGTTATACTTGTATGATTATTCATTATATGCATACTAAATTAAAATGTAATAAACCATATATTAACGTGCTCAAATTCATTCCCCAACGAGAAACGCAAAACTCCAAATATCTCCGTTAACTTTAACTCACTAACGTGTTGCATAGATTACTCTTTCTTTCTATGCCTAGCTCACTGTTTCTTAATTTTCAACCATTTGAATTTTCCAAAACTCAGAAGATTTAATAAATTTGGAACCTATGCCATTTTACTAAGTGAACATTGCCCTTTTTATCTCGCTCTGTCCCTCTGTCTTTCTCTCTCTCTGTCTTTCTTTCTCTCTATGTCTTTCTCTCTCTCTGTTTCTTTCTCTCTCTCTCACCTCACTCTCTCTAAAATTGTATATAAAACATTGGAACACATTTTTTATAAAGTTTGAAAATGCCCTAAGGACTTAGTACCCTCAAATGTACAGTACCCTCAAAAAATAAAAGATTCGTTTCAAGTTTGGCTCTTGTTTACCCAGACCGATCAGGCAATATTCATTTCATAATTTCAAGTAATTTGAAGCACATCAACTCATAAATGCTAAGATGTTTATAATTGCTGAAAATTGGCATATTACTAGAGTGAGAGATGTTTCAAAAAATTAATTTGTGTAATTTGTGAAGAAACAAAAGAACACACCAAAATGAATTTGTCATATTGTACAGCGCCATTAGCATCATCCGTTCAAAAATTTGAAGAAACAATTTGTAACCGTTTTTGAGATAATGAAATTAAAACATTTCCGAAAATGCAGAACTTTGAACTCGTTTTTAATAGTGTAACCACACACACCGTCGTGGTCACCCCGACTCACTAATTTTTCTTCTCTGATTTAGCATTGCCCCGGCTGCTTCATTGGTAGACTCCCTAGAGGGAGGCGTGCGTGTGTGGAGCTAACTACTACTACCACTACTACATTCAAAACGGGACTTCATTTGTTTTAAAATGAATTTAATACACCAATTTGTGATTTAGCTGAAGCATCATACTAAAGTTAACCTTACTAACTACCTTAAAACTAATCTTAGCTTATACGGCCGGCATGGCCAGAGTTCATCTATGCCCGCTGGGCATTGTCCTTCCGGGCGGTCGTGACCCGGCTTGCGGGAGCGGTAGCCCCGCGTCTCAGTGTCTGGAAGTGGCGCGGTCGCAGGCGGCTCCTTCACTCCGGTCCTTTGCCCCTCAGCGCGGCAGCCGGGCGGTCAGCGACATCGGCTCGGTCTTCCTGAGCCCCTCCTGTTGCGTTAGCGGCGGTCGTCGGCCTGCTGGCGACTTCGCGGCGCGGCAGTAGGCGGGCGACAGTGCGTTGGTAGCACGACCCGTGGTCGCGTTACTCGTGCCCGGCCCGTCGTCACTCCAGCCTCACGGTTCGCACTTACGGGCATAACTGCTTCCAGTCAATGACCCCGGAGTCGGTTTGAGATGTTTCGATGCGGTAAGCTGGCTCCGCGGACACAAATGGAATGAACTGGCTGCTGGCTCCGAGGCCAGAATGTAGAGAGCTCGCTACGCGGATCTGAATATACTGCAGCCAAGGTGGCTCCGCGGACCCGAACAGAATGCGTGAAGCTTCCTCCCAGGTCAGAAATTGAAAGCGTGCGTCTAGAGCTTTGCCATGAAGACTTGGCGGATCACGTGACCCTCCCCGCGTCATTTCTCGCTTTTGGTGGGCGCTTGTCACGCGGTTTCTCCGCCCTATCGCGACGTTGATGACGAACGCTCGCGCCTTGCCAAATTCCGGGAAACTCCCGTCGTCACTTGGGTTCCGAGAGAAAGGCGCGGCAGCGTGCTCGTTGCTCGGTTGGGGCGGTAGGCGCACTTCCCGATTAGTCATAGGGTGCGGACTGGCGTGGGTTGCGCCGGACAAAAGACCGAGAAGGCCTCAGGTAGCAGAAACAGTGCGTTTCTTGGCGTCCTTCTCAGTGGAGCTATGCTCAATGTAATTATTCACGTGTCGCCACCCGACACGCCGACCGTCCCATTACAATAGACATGTAAAGGACATGCAATAATGTGTCGAAATCCCCGCGAATGTAAGTATTATCGACGTGTAATAGAATTGCCGATGTGAAGTTAATTCAGAAAATCGCCCGGTTAGACGTGGAATAACTCAAATGCTCTTATAACTTCAATAAGTTTGTTCGTTATAATAAAGTGTGCGAAAAGTTTATTTTATTACTATTTTCATTTTCATTATTTGTACTATTTCGAATATAATTAACAGTTTTAATTTATTGTGTTACAGTGTCGAAACGAAATGTTTAAAAGAGAAATGTGCAGGGGTTTTGCAAAAATATTATGACTCTAAAAATCATCAAAAGAAACAAATACAAACAGGAGGGTAAGTACTGATTAAGCTATAATCGTGTTAATTATTTAATTTTCTGGAGTATTGAATGCCCTATATATCTTATGCGTTCTAATTTTTAGTTTTTCAGATCTGCGGAGAGACTTGCAAGCTGTAATTGGAACTCGTGCAAACTTGAACATAGCACAAATTGAAAACTATGGCGGGGAAACATTCTTGTCAGAAGAAGTAGCAATAGCTCTTCTTCAAGAAAGCAAACTGGCGTTTCGTCGATGTGAAGTGGTTAGTTTTTATTACATTATTGATTATAACTACTACAATACTATCCTTTCATAACACTGTTTTTAACATCAATATGGGCCACCAAATGTTCTAGTGACGGTCGTGTTCTTGGGATCTATCTAGTTTTCTCGTTGGGTGAAAAATAAATGAAAATGTGTTCCCATAGTCAATTTTGTCAGCTTTGTTTTTGATTAAAGTAAAGTTTCGCTTCCATGCACTATTTCAATATATACTAAGCGGGAAAAATATTTTTACTTGAGAGCTCTGGATTAGGTCGTAAACATATTAAACATTTCTTGGACCTACGAGATGTGCGAGGCACGGGAATACATACAGAAGATCCGTGTTTTGTGTTTACGCGTTATCTCGCTTAGAAACCTATACGGCAAGAAAACGTAATAATGCGTACGGAAAAGTTGGGCCCACAGCAGAGTTTTTCGTGACAACGGGACGAAACGCAGAGGGGGGATGTGAATTATATGTATTTATTTAATGTAAAAACATTTAAGTGTGTATGACCTACTATGGGACGTGAATTCTGTGCACGTTTTCTTAAATTCTAGGATCCCTACCCTAATCTATACACTAGTTAAATTCTGAAACAGAGAAGAACAAGAACTGTTACGAAAATACGTTTTTGGCAAGAACTGTTACGAAAATATTCACTCCCGGTTGATAAATACTGTTGCAAAGGTAAATCTGTATTTGGGAGTAATAAAGGAGGAAAGCACAACAGTTCGTACAATTAAGAGCTGTCTTTATTTTCCAAAAACGGAAATCCAAGAATAACCAGGTACAAGCCAAAAGCCCATCCTTCCAGAATCATCTGGACATCATTCCCAATTCACCGCACAGTCCAAACAAGCCTTCAGAGAAATCACACCTGACTTCGCACACGGCGTCACTTCTGTCCGGGCCACAACACCGCCCTACCACTTGCACCAACTGAACACGATTGTACTCACTGCTCGTCCTGGAGGGCACACGGTTTTATAGTTTTAAAGCCTGGCGAGTGAGTCTTGGTCTTCTCATAACTTGCCCGGGCGAGTAGCAAAAGGGGTGGGCTGTCCTCAGTGGTTGCGTCATGTTCCCGTCTACTGCTTGCCCGACTGCCGCTATTGACCTGCCACCTGGCGGCGGTTTCCTGCAATTCTCATACTGCCGAGCGCCACCAATGCACCTATGCCACAGCATCCTCCCCTCTCTTATTGCACTTGATAAGCCCTGTTTGTTTTGCGCAACCTTTTACTGCACCAGCTTCTGTTGGCTCAGCTCTGGTGGCTCGACCTGTACACTTTGGTGGAGTTCTGGATGCCGGTGTTCTAGTTGCTCCGATTCGGTCTGTTGACGTTGCTGAACGGAGGCGCCTGATCTGCTATTGTGCGGCCTGTACCGAGACCGAGACCTTGGGCGACGCCCCCTCCCACTGTGCTCCGTCGGCTCCTGTCGCGGCGAGGTGCTTCGGGGACGCAGACTGCTACCAAGCTCAACCTCTGGTGCTGTCGTCCAGTCCCACTGTTCACTGCTGCGCGCCTTTTGACTGTTCTCGAAATCCATTAACTGAGGGCACTCTTTTGACCCTTGCTCCCCCTTGGTGTCTAGGTGCGACTGCTTAGGCTGCTCCACCATGATGACTTCCGGCTGTCCCGTTCGACTTTCCTGGACCACTGCGAAAGAACACCTTGTTGCGGCTGGCCGATCCACGTTTTTCCAGCTGCAGAAGCTCATCTTTTTGCAGTAGAGAAGATCCTCTGCTTCCCTGCAAGAAAGTTTAACTGCGTTATTCATCGGGAGTCCTGCGTTTAAGTCCCCCAGGCTGTCCAGATCCTCCACCGGAAAATGTCATGGCCGCAACTGCTCCTGATGTCTCCGATCAGTCGTATCCCTAATCCGTACTGCGTAGCACTTTGCTTCCTGTACTGCAATACTGTCCCTGGGATTCAGCGAGGTGACTCCCTATGAGTCTTTACCATCACCCCGGCACCCATTTCTAACCTTGGCCACTCTGCCCTGTACATCTTTTGAGGAAAAATAGTGACAGTAACGTTCGCGGCTGTCGTCCATGGAGCGTCTGCGCCGGACTAATTCCGCCTCTTCCCGGAAGGGCTCTATACGCTTTTCGCCCCCCAATGAAATGGGGGTTCCAACGTATATATATTATTGAGTTGCCAAAATTTCTGAAACGTCTTTTCCGTAAACTAGAGCCCATTGCCTGAGATTATTGTTCCCGGTAACCCCTGACTGGAAAACACTATCTGAAGTGCCCGACCTGTGGAATCTGCCGTGCAGTTTGCCTTGCTGATCATTTACCGGAAACCTAATGATGCATCAACGAGAATTAACATCGTGTGCCACTGAATCGGGCCAGCAAAGACGATATGGATCCTCTCCCAAACCTCCTGAGGTTCCGGCCACTCCTTAAAGCTACTTCTCGGACTCTTCTGGAGGCTTGGCACGGCTCGCGGAACGTAACCCTTGTTTCTATGTCCCTATCAATATTAGGCCAGTAACAGTATTTCCTATCTAGCTGTTTAGTGAGGACAATTCCCCAGTGCCCTGTGAAGTATGCTTAGGACCTTCTACCTTACGTTCATCGGAATGACCACCCTCACTTGGTCCCCTGCTTCCGACAGTAGGAACCCTACTCTAACTTTCAGTATCTCCTTAAACTTCCACAACGTGTTGAAATCCACGTTATCCGTGGAGTTATTTTTACCTTGCCTGGTGAAGGCCCTGTTGCTTGTCAGTTGCGTATCCCAGTCGGTCTGTGCAGCTATCGCCCGCTGGTTCAGGGAAAAAAGACTTTCTTTTGGAGCTAATCTATCTGCAGACATTCCTGTTTCTGCTCGTCAAACGCGCTATCCGGACCCACCGGTAGCTTGGATAGAGCGGCCGCGTGGCCGTGTTGAGCTGCAACCGGCATAACACGCAATAACCGGCATAATCGATACGCCGTGTTATGCTGTAGGCCTATACGATAGTTGTAGTCCGTCAGGAAGAGAGACCACCTTTGCAGCTTTCGTAGTGTATTGTCCGGAAATTTCTTTACTGGATGAAATACCTCGACCAGAGGTTTGTGATCCGTAACTATTAGAAATTGGCTCCCATATAGATAATCGTTAAATTTACGCCCTCCGCCATAATTATTGACAGTGCCTCTTTCTCTATTTGGGCGTACCTACGCTGATGAACATTGTTTTTGACGCAAAAGCAATAACCTTGGGGCTGCTACCTCCTGAAAGAATTTGGCATAATTTGCCTTACCTAGAAGAGATTGTAACTGTTTAATGCCTCTATGTGAAGGTTATAAAGTTGTTCCTGCCCCAAACCATTCTTTTGAGTCAGAATGGCTCCTACGCCATAGTCAGATGCGTCCGTCGCCAGGATGAGTGTCTGCCTGGGTCAAATGCCTTAGCTTGACTGCCTACACCAGTGCCTTTTTTATTTTCTCGAAAGCTGCGTTACTGGCTGGCGACCACGAAAATTTGGCGCCCTTTCTACGAAGGACGTTGAGTGGGGCTGCTACCTCCTGAATAAATTTGGCATAATTTGCCTTACCTAGAAAAGATTGTAACTGTTTAATGCCTCTATGAGAAAGCAAAATTAACAATGGCCTCTCCATTGGCTTGTGTAGATCTAATACCGTCTTCATCGATCATGTGTCCTAGGTAGGTTATGTGAGACTAAAAAAGGTACACTTTTATTTAGTTTTGCTGTTAACCCAGCCGCTTGCAGCATTTCTAACAACTTCCTAAGATTTTGTATGTGCTCTTTCTTTCTACCCGTTACTACTATATCAAGGTAGTTCATACTACAAAGCACTCCCAGTTGTTCCAGGTATCTTTAAAATACTGGTGCTACCGATGCCACTCCGAACGGCAGCCTTTCATACTAAAAAACCCAGGGTCATATTAATAGCATAATATTAAATATCGTCTAGATTCCTCATCTAACGGAATTTGTAGGTAGGCATCCTTTATTTCTATTTTTGAAAAATACTTATCTCCGACTAATTTCTGGAATAGTTCCTCTTGTTTGGGTATAGGATATTTCTCAAATCTCCAGTTGATCATTCACCGTGAACTTAAAATCCCCACACAAACGAATGGTTCCTTCCGCTTTCTTTACCACCACCAGCGGCATAGCACTTGACTTGTTTTTACCGGAGTAATAATACCAAGATTGCAGCCTTACCAATTCCTTATACACGTGCTCTCTCAGGGCTAGCTGTATGTGAACCTCCCAATCTCTGGCCTTTCCCAGACGATCCTGGAACAGGTCCTTGTAGTCTTCGTCTAAAACTTCGATTTCACCAAAACACTCACTCTCGGACACTACATTTATGTAGCCCTCAATTTTGAACTGGAAGGGCACGCAAAAAATCCATTCCCATCAAATTGCTTGTGTCTTTCCTATTCACCAATGTAATAGTCTCTCCCGGCACACTTCCTTGTAACACATCACCGCTCGATAAAAACTTTTAACGTCAATGTTATCTTTGCCGAAAGATCACATTTTAAAACTAGATCTACTACACTGCAGTGATCCTAACCTACAATATGTTCGTAAGTTAACCAAGTTAACCGGTGAACCCGTTTCTACTTGGAAGTTGATCTTTTTTCTTGCTACCTCTACATCCACGAACGCTTTATTTTCACTGCATCACTATCCATCACTCCATCTCATCTTCTTATAGTAACGCTTTCGTACCTGAGGTAGTTCCTGATCTCGTCTCCCAAATTGAATGTGGCCCTGTGCCCCTTAAAAAACACTTCGCGTTTCTAAATTTCAACTTATACCTGGTATGGGACACTCCACATAGTTGCACGAACTGAAGTCCTGCTTTGGTGTGTTCTTTGTCTTCTGCTGAAATTCCCTATTACTCCATACTTTTTTAAAAAAAATAATTACTTCTGTAGGATCTGCTATTTCTTTTGTGGGTTTTCTAATGATCTCAAAAGTTTGTAGCTATTTTAACCTGACCCATCGAGGTGAGTCGGTTCCCGTTCTGTCAGGGGGATGCAGAGATGGTATTCCTTTCTTTCACCAGTCCTCTAGATCTTCCCCATCGTTCATTCTCGTTCTTTTATAACGTCCTGTCTCTTTCTTTTTAACCTTTCGATTTCACTGGTTGACCTGTATGCTGAACGCCACCCATATTTTTGCCGTGCATGACAACCCGTGTCGGAGGAGAAGTGTGTCCTAGCAGTTGAGGGACCTGTTTGTTTCCCAACTACTCCTTGCGCTACTTTCTGCACTGCACCTAGGAATGCGTTGTTTACGTATTTTGGGGAACATAACTGTTTGGTTTCCAACACACTTGCGTTGTCCTCAGACTCTAGACGGACGGTCGTGAGCTAACTCACTACCGATCAATCGCTTCAGACTAGGTATTGTACCGAACTCCAGGGTGAGAGGGGGGATCCACGGTGGGATAGCGCTGTGACATCACCCCACGTATCTTCGCGTCAACCCTGGCACCTAGTGGGTTCCATAGTCCCCTCGTTTGACTCCATGGTGGGTGGGGAGCACGGAGACGAATCCGCTTCAATTCTATGGTGCATAATGTTTGCGTTGGTAACAAACTGTCTAGCGGTCACCCTCTTGCTGTCGGCAACCTACAAGGGTTGGTGCTGTGTCACTCTGCCTTTGCCATAAACAATACAGTGACGACCGCGTAAGAACCAGTGAAGGCATCGCTGTTTGTAGATGATTTTGCTATTTTTTATTCATCCAGCAACATCAGTATATCCCAAGGCAACTGCAACTTTTGCTTATCAAACTACACGATTGGAACTCTCCCACATACTTGAACTTTTCCACAAAGAAAACTACCGTTGTGCACTTCTGCAGCACTACCTGTGTGGCAATCCGGATCACTATCTTGGAGGCCATCAGCTCCCATTCACTGACTCTGCCAGGTTCCTCGGGATGATGTTTGATAAAACCTTTATGTGGCTTACACACATCCGGAGACTACAAACTAGAAGTTTCCACGGTAAATCTCTTATATATGCTGAGTGGTACCTCATGGGGAGCTGAGGAGCCTCTCGGATTCGCCTTCTGCGGATATACAGTTTCGGAAAACATAGCCCGTGTTTCTTATTTTCTTGCGAGATTGAAATATCTACATGATTTTCACTGTAAAAGGGATGAGATACACAAACAGAGAAAACAATTTTAACCGGAACTAATTTGCCCCGAGTCCCTCTCGTCGAGAAAATTTGCCTCTCTCCCAAAAGAAAATCCGGACGTTGGGCACGGCCAGTGCACATTTTATACCTGCATCTTCTATTCTTTAATTATAATTACTGGTCTACTTTCCAAGTACTTTTGTGAGCGTTCTTAGTAATCTTGATTGTGACCCAATATATGAATAGTTAATTTTTAAATGAAAATTCGTTATTTGAATTTTTGTGTTTTTTGTTTGTTTACAGTTGTCTCGCCAATCTGACTTACCAGGAAATGCTATACAGATACTTGAAATACTCCTGCATTATCTAATAGCAGAGCATGTTGATTATGCTCTAGAATTAGGTCTGCAAGCCGTTCCAATTCCTGAAACAAAAACGCCGCCACAAATCTACTTCTTTGATGTTGTCCAACAGTGCAATGCTGCAGTCCATCTACTTGAGAAACAGTTTAATGATAGTCTAGTACCTCTAGTAGTGTGAGTATTAAATTCATATGTAAATTTAATTAACCTCTGTAATCATTCTCTTGTTGAATTGGAGGAAATATGACACGACATAGCCCGTAGTAGGTATAAAACATGTATATATTTCATTAATTTCAACCACAAATAACGCAAAAACTACGCATTTTTTCAAAGAAGCGTTTCAAAAGAGCTAATTCTGTACACAGACTTTGACTGAAGCAAATATCACTATCTTCAATTTTGTAGTTTTAAAATGTGTTTTTTACAATGTTCATAAAACCGATCAATACCAGAACATATGACTAGCACCATATATTTTATCGTCTCTTATTACTCAAGTGAAGAAAATGTAAAGAAAAAATTGCAGCAGTTTTTGAAATTTTTGATGTAAATTTCAATTGCAAAAACCACTTGCTTTTTCAACAACGTGCACATGACCTGTTTTGAAGAGCTAAGTTTGTACAACAGACATTCTCAGAGACAAAAACCTTTATCTCCAATTTTGAACTTTATTTTTTTTTCAATTTTCAAAAAATGAGGATGACCGCAAACATGAGACCTGCACCATTCTCTTGAACGTTTTTTTACTATTTAACAACAACATTTAATCAAAAAATTTGGAGTCATTTTTTTGAAAATTTTCAGAAAGTCCCAGGGGCTTTTTGTAAAGTACCCCCAAAATTAAAATTCTGGTTAGATATTTCAGGGTCCGCGACATCAACTAGAACGAGTGGGGAAAATACATTTTGGAGAACATTAGCTGATCTGTTTATTCGCTAGCGTGTGCACAGACGGACTGACACGTTTTGCCGTCAACCGATTTTTCGATATGAAGGATCCACAAACATGGACTCTCGTTACACCACAAAATCTTTATTTTCCCCCTATTTTTAACAATTGGATTTATTCCCTTCTTGTTTACCAGTGCCCGCCAAAAAGAGTATTGTGTCGAAAAAGCGCAGTTTCCGGCGCACGATTACATTACTTTCTCTTCTTACGTTAGTAAGTGCGAGAAAGTAAAAATGTATTCAAAATAACAATCACAGTTGAAATAACTCTCAAACAAGCTGTATAAATGTGCTACAAAGTTCTCGATGCGTCTATTTTATCCCTTTTTAAAAAATTATTGCGTCTATATAGTAGACGCAACGAGTCTCCTAGCTCAAGGATCATTAGGCACACCGTGGAGTTATTAATCACACAACACCCTCTAGGGGCCGTTGGGTAGTCAAGTCACGTGAGTCGCAGTCAAATCAGGGAATCGCCCATCGGTAGCGTCTTCGTGCTTGCGTCTCGCACACGCCCTGCGTCATCTACACATCGACCAGAATTGGGAAAGAATAAGGGTGGGGGTAAGGTTTAGAACGCTTTACTAGGGTTGGACTACCCCTTGTAAAGCGTTTAATAATGCTGTTCTGTGTCAGTCCTTTTTTAATTTCTGAAAAAATCCGTATTAACTTTCAACATAATTTCGTCTCACATTTTATATATGGTTCTCGGAAGTGCGATCGCTCCCCAAATTCAAGATATTAGCGGTGGACGACCTGTTGCCTCTCAACGCGATCCGAATCCTGTTACATTTTATCTGTTACCTTGCGCGCCGCGTCGAGCCGCTCCGCAGTTTTGGGACTGCTCACCTGGACTTCGCTGCACGCAACCCCTCTTTCAGCACAAGGGTTCCGCCGTCGCCTGCTGCCTTTGTAGAACGTGCTAGGCTCCGTCTCTCCGATCGCCGCATACACCGAATCCAGACCAGCTCCAGTCTCCCGTGCGCTTTTCTTCTGTCTTCTCCCCAGGAAGAGCTTGTCCACACGTCTCTTTTTCTTTCTTCTCTCTTGCCCCAAAACGCGTTGAACGCCTTTGTGCGTCTAGTCCTTGCAAACTATGATTAGCTTCAAGCGTTTTAAATATTTCCTGCGTTGCTCGCTGCGCTCTTTGTTTCACGATTACACTGATGAAGTTTAAGTTTTCCCTGCAGTGTCAATATGCAAATTTCAATTTTACAAGCATCAACCATTTCTGCTGCCCCGCAATACAGTTCCAAAACTCGATGTTTTCTAGATTCTCTTTAACTTTCCGCTATCTTTAAGTAAAGCACACAATGGCGGATTTCACACCTTTTTCTCACATTCTTAACTGCACATATTTCAATTTCTCGTATTTCAAAATGGCTTTCAATACTCGTTCAACGTTACGCACCAGAATGACCAAACATTATCGCCGGCGACTCGAGCAAGGAGGACTGGTCTCTGTCCTCCGAATTTATGTGGCTTCTCTTTCTGATAGTGGAGGTAACACGACACACTCCTCCAGGACTCTCCCGGCGTGCTTCACATGCCTTGCAAATACCGCGCGGGTTGCGGTCTGCGAATAATAGATGGTGATCTCGCTTACCACAGTGGGCATGCATTCTTCTTACTCCCGCATTTTGACGGCACGAAAGTTGCGTGGGCGGCTTGGACGTTTGGTTAAGACCGAACGTCACAATATGTACGTATGTATCTTTTATTATAAGTTGGTAATTCGAAATTCTTCACGTACGTCTCATTTCTGATATGGGCCATTAATGAGTAGCCCTTAACGTACCTCAGGAAACGCATTTCTCCTGGGTTAATTCTCACCCATCTGCCCTTCCGGAATCAACACCCCACTTAATGCAATAGGTTGAGTTTAGATTTTTTCCTAGTCATTCCAGACATCACCATCACCACGTGTTTCACATTGTTATGCATAGTACGGCCTGATATCACGCATGGTTTCATCCCCCACTCCATTTCAGAGTTGCAATATTACGGGGAAGTCAGACGTGGATCGATCGGCCGAGTAAAGGAAATGTGGCCCGCAACCATTTTAAAGATGTTAATGAGAACTTGAAACAAAACACAATTAGAATAAATAATTAAAACCATACAAAGAATATTGCATATTTTGATATGCATATCTTATGGTATGTCGCCTTTTTTTTAAATGAAGTTAAAATAACAATCTTATTTCAATTCATAATACATTTGACATGTGTATTTTCAATCCTTAAGTAATACAAAAAAATATGCGAATGCACCTACAGTGGCTATCACGTAAGGGTAACAAGTGCTCTCACGAACGTAGTGTTCGTAGTAGTTCACAAGCGCAGGAAATAATGCCTTCCTCGAGGCTCTCTCGATGCGATCATTCCAACGTTCAGGGGAACGTGTCATCTGGGCCTTCACGTAGTCTGAACTCGAGGCACTTCGGTCAATAATCTCGAGGCGCTGTCCTAGTGAGTTTCAAAGTCGATCTCTACCTAGCTTATCTTGTCTCATCCACTCATCTGTCTGCTATAGCGACCCTGCCTCTCGAATGACGAAAGCTCGGAACTCCTGCCGCGCGCATACCAGTCTCTGATTGTTCAGCATCGACTTCGGAGAGCCTTGGCGGGGGTGCTTTCGAACCAATGGTTTGCTACTTTATAAAGTTGTCTTAATTTTTGCGGTGAATTTTCTTTGAATAATTTGGAGCCATTTTTAAGAAAATGGCGTTTAAGCGCTACTGAAAATTCGACTTAAAGTTGTGTATCATTTACAAAATATAAGAATATTTTCGTTAAGAAAGAAACTAGTGGTGCTACAATAGCACATACTTTCTCGCGATATTGCAGTGTTATCGATATGTACAACAAGACGCCCGTAATGCTTAATTAATTTCAAACAAATTACGCGAACACTGTCAACTTTTACAAAAAATTGTACGCAATATTTTATAAAGAGCTTATTTTGTGCAACAGACTTTGTCTGAGGCAAAAATCTTTATCTTCAATTTTGTAGTTTTGTATTTTTTCTCACAAAAAGAACGAGCAATACCTGAAAATGAGATTTGCATCATATTTTTCACAGCCCTTATTACATATGTGGAAAAAATTTTTAAAAAATGAGTGTTTTTGTTTCTTCAGAAAAAAATGCAATAATTTTAAGCACATATTACACAATTTTTTTTTTCCAAAAAGTGTACATGACCTTTATTAAAGAATCAATTTTGTACAATAGACTTTGGCTGAAGCAAATATCACTATCTTCATTTTGAATGTTTATAATTTTTTCTGTTGCAATTTTCGAAAACTCAGTGATCTTGACAAAAATGAGACCTTATTTATAAAACGTGTCCAATGTTTTTACGACGATCCTTTATTTAAGGATTGTCATAAAGACATGGATACGTTTCATTAATAAGTTATTAAACTTGTGATGCTAAAGAATTGCACAGATATTCCCACATTAGTTTTTTATTTCCATTGGTCTCGGCTAGCTATTCAGACTTGCCACATACTCTTGCCAGCTGCCATCTATCGCCGCCCAAAGTACATTCTTTTGGAATTTTCTGAATTTTTCGGTTTACTAATAGTTAAACGAAAATATTTTAAGAATATTAAATAAGAGTAAAACGTTGAATTAAGTTCCAATTTTCTTTTTTGAACAATTTGGAGCTGTTTTTAAGAAAATGGCACTGATGCGCTACTGAAAATCCGAAATTTGAAGCTAAGTTTCTACGAAACTTTTGTAGTTTTCGAAAAACTTCTTATGAAGTCATTTTTACTTCACGTTAACTACAAATACAATTGTGTTTACAAATTTGTTGGAAATATGCATATTAACGGCGAGAGAAATGTAAAAAAAAACACATTTTAGTAATTTTTTAAAAAGCAATAAATTGTGTCATAGTATGTTGTAAAAAAATAAGCTCCTTAAAAAAGGTCACGTACAATCTTTTGAAAAAAGTTGTAGTTTTTCCGTATTTTGCGCTTGAAATTATCATATTTATTTTAGCAACTACATAATTAAAGAACGAGCCTTTTCTTCAAATTAAGTTTGTTATCCATCAATTTTTTCATTAAGGGCATGTGCATTTTTTGAAACTTATACTAGTTTTCGCGCAATATTGCGTGCAATATTTGCAATTTTTTTTTTAAAAAAAATACAAAAACAAGATTTTCTGAGAAACAAATGTGGAGTGTTTTGGGAGTAATTACATAGTACAGG